AGAACTGCCTGCGAGCTTCTTCTTCTGGAGAAATCCCTACACCTTCTGAACTGATGGTGAGACAAGAGGAGACAAAAAAAAATGGACGTTTTGCTCTGCTTTGTGGCCATGGGAAAGTGGCATAAAGCTTCTGGTCCTCAGTTTCTGCTACTAAGGAAGTCCTGTGGTTACAGCAATCATCGCCTCATCATGATCTCGAATTACATACGGTCAGTGTGTGAAAATGTTTTGTTAGCTCTAAACTGTGATAGGCACAGTTGTTGTCAGTTTTGATGTGGAAGATGTAGACTGAATGAAAAATTAAAATGATTTTTTTTTTTGCCAGACAGAAAACGAGAACCATAAGAGGTGTTACTGCAAAGAACTGGTGTACTGGGGCATTTTAGGAAAGCTAATGCAGCACTGGAAAGATGGAGGAGAAAGAATGGAGAGGGGGGGGGGACTATCTTGGAGGCCAGGACATTGGTCCAGGCAAGATCAGCCTGGGTCCTGAGATCAAGCGGATGACCAGATAGAGAAGGAAATGAGGAAAATATTCAGTATAATTTCTTTCATAGTTCATAGGAAGAATCCGAACTTTGCTATGAATTTAACTTTCTTTGTTTGGAAGAGAGGAGACACTAGCACACACAGGGAAAGTGTCAGACACGATGAGGGCAGTTCGGAGACGGGGCCATAAGGAAACCAGCTATAAGAGTGAACAGTGCGACAGTCTACACTTTTGATAGTTCCCTAAACCCAGTCTCTTTTGGAGGCTGATAGTTAGCAAGGCAAAGCAAGCAAGAAAGCAAACAAGCACACCCAATTGTTGGAACCTGAATACTACCTGCTTTCCAAAGTAAGAATACGTATTTTCCATTCAGAGAAAGGTGATAAAAGACAGACAGGGGAAGCAGCTTCGTGGGAGAGCACAAATGCCCAGAAGGTGGTGTCAGTTAAAGGTAGGCTGGTACCCACCAGATGAGCCCATGATGTGTTACCAGAGGAAGTGTCAATCTGAGCATTGTAAAGGCAAGATGAATGGCAGGTGGCACACTTTCTTTTCATGCCTTGGAAACATGTAAGAGTCCCAGAGTCATGGACCAATTTAAAGACAAACCTACAGGCTAGGAGATCCTGAGAGCCATTTAATAACACAAACATATGTGCTTCTGGGGAAAAGGAGGCTTAAAACAGCAAGATGATTCTAGGGTGGGGTGTAAGGTCCCACAAAGGGGAGCAAGGAACTGGGTCAATAGCAGAGGTAAAGACATGGCTGGACACCTCTCCAATCTCATCTTTGATTTTACTGACTGGACTTGGTTTTACTCCAGGTAGAAATACACTCTGCAAAAAGAATAAGCATCTCTTAGCTTATGTTAATCCTAGTGGACAACAAGACCCCAATAGACATCGTTTTACACAGGACTTCCTGTGGGAGCCTAGGCAGTTTGGATGCTTACCTTACTAGACCTGGATGGAGGTGGGTGGTCCTTGGACTTCCCACAGGGCAGGGAACCCTGATTGCTCTTTGGGCTGATGAGGGAGGGGGACTTGATTANCTTTAGCTATTTTCTGTCCTCCTTAATTCGAATGAGGAAACTTATCCAGCCCCAAGGAGGAGGCACCTTGTTGGTATGGATGTGAAAAGCTCAGAGGGAACCCTGATTGCTCTTTGGGCTGATGAGGGAGGGGGACTTGATTAGGGAAGGGGGAGGGAAAGGGGAGGCAGTGGCGGGGAAGAGACAGAAATCTTTAATAAATAAATAAATTAATTAATTAAAATAAAAAACAATAAGCCTAAATAAACAAACAAATAGAAAAAAATATTTCCAAATGGAGTGTGTATCCTTTAGCTATTTTCTGTCCTCCTTAATTCGAATGAGGAAACTTATCCAGCCCCAAGGAGGAGGCACCTTGTTGGTATGGATGTGAAAAGCTCAGAAGGAGGGATGATTTTCTTTTCTGTTGAGTGGTGGAGGGTTACACCACCTCAAAGAGGAAGGATGCCATTCAGACCTAACTGAAGCCATGCTTCCTGGCTTCTACACTGCACCCTTTAAGCCCTTCTGTCTTCCTTTCCACTGGAGTGGCCCCTTCCAAAGGAGTTCTGCAGCATAGCATCTGTGAAGCCTTGTATGATCAACTCTCAGGATTTCTCAACACTATGAACTACTGAAGTAAACTGACTTAGGGCAAAAGCGACACGTAACGGGACCTGCTGGGTGGTTCTAGTCCCGGGTTCAGAAGAAGCATCTAAATGCAGACTAAGCATGGGATCCTCCCAACCCCACTCCAGCCGGCCATACAGCAAGGGGTCCATGAAAGGAGCATGCGCACACAGGGCAGATGTGTCCAGATTCTAGAAGGAGCCTTCACTTCTCTGGGGTCTGCGCCTGAGGTCCCCATTCTCTAGCAGGAGTTTCTTGTGAACTGAGCACTGGGCTAAGTAGCTTGCCCAGAACACTGGATTCTTCCTCATTAGGCCAGCTGCTTCTTTTCCTCACTTTCCCACTTGCCGGAAGGGGGCCGGAAAACCTATCTCTTGTTGCAATCTCTGCTTCCAACAAGAATCTATGACCTTGGAAAAAGCACAGGTTTCAAACGCTTGTCTGAGCCAACAAGACTCCAAGCAGGCGCGGTGCTGTTCTAGTCAGTCAGGTCGCTGGGTACACCACAGCAAGGATAAGAGACCAGAAAATCATTTATTCTACCAGAGAAGAAATGATACTGGGTGCGTGGGCGGTGGTGGTAGGTGGGTGGGTTCGTGGGGGCACAGATATTTCCTTTCCAGATGCCGCCTCGCTTTTTTTGTTGTTCGCTCAGATAGGGTGAGCAGTGAAGGGGCTCCTAGCATTTAAAGGGACACAAAAAGTTCGGCACTTCTGGACCCAGTCCCAGGGAGAGCAGGTTTTGTGCGCATATGGGAAGAAGCAGGAGCGAGTCTTCCTGTGCCCAGGCAGGCAGAGGGGACAGAAGGCTCTCTACCTTGGGCAAACTTCTCTCCATTACGGCAGGGCACAATCCCTCTTTTACCTCTGCTTCCTCCCCCCTGTCCCGTTGGGAGTGGAGTGAACAGGTGCTCACACACCCGCTTGGAGGGGCCCTTCATCACCGACTAGTCCCGCACCAGCAGCTGCTCAGACGGTTCCCGGCTTGCAGGCGGCTGCAGCGCCCACCGAAGGCCCAGGGCTTCCAGCAAGGGGATGGCAGGGACAGGGCGACTCAGCTGTCTTGAGACTGGGGCGCGGGCTCCTAGCCTGTACCACGCCTTCAGTCTCACCAGCCGCTAGTCGGGAGGAGCAGGACAGGGTCAATTCTGGGCAGCACTAGGGCGGGCTGGAGCTGCAGCCCAGTCTCCGTGTCCCCCTTGCGGCAGACCAGTCAAATGGAGATGCCACCCTATCACACCTTCTCATCCCGGTGGGTTGCAGGGAGAGTCCCCAGGACAGGGCTGCAGTGCCAGCTAGATGGGCGCGGCCCCAGGCTTCAGGGGCGCCCACTGCGGGCGGGACCCTGGCCGCGCAGCCTGAGCTCCAGAGGCCACCAAGGCAGGCGGACTGAGGTCATCTGCGTCCTCCCAACTCTGCTCCAGGAACCTGGCTGGGCCGGTGCTGGTTTGGGCGGTGCCCGCGGAGTTCCGCGCTGCTGCACACGTGTCCCGCTGTCCTCCCCAGGCCACACAAATAACCACTTCCCGCACCCGCACCCCGGGAAGCAGACCTGCCCCACAGGGTATCTTGGACGAGGTCAAGACCACCTTGTTTCGTTTTTATTCTAGGAGCGGCTCAGTCCTGTTTTAAGAAGCTAGCTCTCTAGACATATTAAACTAAGTTTTTGCTTGCCTTTTGTTAAGAAACTTTTAATCACACAGAATTTAGGTTCTAATCGGCCGAGCGGTTAACTGGCCCAGAGAAAAAGCTTCCGTTTTTAACACTGGCTCTGGGGGCTGTTGGAAAACAGCCACCGAATTTAGGCTGGAGTTGAAGGTTAGCAGGATTTACCGTTGTTTCCCCAGGGGGTTCAACCCTCACGGGTGCCTTTTCTTTTATTTAAGATACTTTCAAAAGAAAATTCTGGAAAACGCTTTGACTATTTTTTTTAAAGAAATTTGTTTGAGCCCTTTAATCCAGAAATATTTCTAAAATGGGGAGGAGGAGGCACTGGAGACTGACAGCAGCTGTGTGTCAGGAAATAATAAGTATCATGCAAAAATATCACGGCTAATAGATATCCTTTAGAAGTGGAAATATCTATGTTTAATTGCTTTTAAACTGTAGGGTGGAAAACACAATTATACACTATAACGAACCTGTACAGAAAAATCTGGAACAATACAAGTGCTAGTATTTTTTCTTCATGATTGAAATAATTGTCCCCAAATTATGATACTGACAACCTCCCCCAAACACTGTGTTTCCTCCTCTGCAAATGCTTGAAGAGGAATAGTTCTTACCAGTCGAATACATTTAGTTTTGTCCTTAATAAACAGAAAATTGCATAGCTTTTAATACGGTTGTACATCCTCAAATGCGTCTTTTAATTTCATGGTTAGCTCTCGATATTTTAAAAAACTCAATTTTCAGAGATACATATATGAGTCCTAGTAATTATAAACACATTTTACTCATCTGATTTTTATAACATGCATTTTCATAATTACTGTACAACTGAAATAGACATTGAGTTATGCTGTGTGCATGTCCTTACTCAGCAATATATTCTTAGACACCTTGTTCAACAAATTAAGTGAATTTAAAAGAAACTGAAACAGGAGAGAAAAAAATCCTGCCAGTAGAGAGAGAATCACAGTGCGATACAGACAACCGGGAAGGAAAAGAGGTTCTCATACGAAAAAGAGATTTATTATGACATAGAAAATGTTCACAATGGTTGAAACACACTTCGGAAACTAGTAAACACCTTAGATAGAGTTGTGCCAATTACTCGGCCTGCAAGCATCTGCTTTCTCTTAATTAGAGTGGGAGGTGAATGACCACTGTTTATTTTCATTTTCCTCATTAATTATGAAAAACTGCATTTAATTCATCTTGCATAGTGAGGGATTGGCTGCGCAGATGTAAGTCATAAGGGAAGTGGCTGTCGGTGGGCAACCTGAACATGGCACCCTGCCCAAGGGGACCCCTGGGTGGCACTGCACAGTAATGCATGCCATAATTGTAATTTTTGCCATAGTCCAAGGTTTCTTCTTGCTTCAGGGAAAATATCCCATTATAGTTAATTGGGGGAGGACTTAAGGGACCTTCAAACTGAGGGCTGGCACACTCAGGGGAAGCACTTTCATAGAAGGATTCATACGCACTGCAGTAATTGTAGGGCTTCATGGACTTGGAATTATCAAGAGTCCCATGCCCTGGGGGAGTGGCCAGCTCAGGGCTATGGTAGGGTGGGTAGAATGTGGAGTAGGGTGACCTTGTGTGGTGTGCAGCCTCCCCACCCTGACCCATCAGGAAACTCCTGGCGTTGAGCTGTAAGCAGCCTGCCACCAAGTTTGTCGTTGGCTGGGAAAGACCTTTGCATAAGTTTTGGACGAACGTGAGCAGATCTGGTCTCTTGCCAATCCTCAGAATTTCGGAAAGTGCCCAGATGTAGTTTTTGGCCAGCCGTAAAGTTTCTATTTTGGACAGTTTTTGGGTTTTAGAGTAACAGGGGACCACTTTTCGCAAATTGTCCAGAGCGTCATTGAGGCCGTGCATCCGGTTCCTCTCGCGCGCATTGGCTTCCTGTCTCCTGAACTTGACCCTTTCCAGGCGTAGTTTGGTGGTCTTTTTTTTCCTGAGACCCCTCCTTCTGGGCAAGCCATTTTCATCTTCTTCTTCTCTGTCTTCTTCCTCCTCCTCTTTCTCGGTTTCTTCTCCAGGGGCCCGTTTAATGCTCTTTCCTCGAAGGACAACTTGTTTGGGAAAGCTCTCTGGCTTCTTAATTTGTTTCTGATCCTCGCATTGTCTAGCAAACTTTCTGCACATCTGGGATTCGGGCATTATGACAGACTCGTCAAACGGTAGTGTTAACATGGTTCCTTAACCTTAAATTACCTGGAAAAAAATGCCAGCACAATATTTAAAGTGTTTTCATTTTTAGAGTTGATCTACTTCAAATTTATTTAATGACTTAATCACAAGGCTCTGAAAGCACGTGAAAAAGACTGATTCCAGAACTTGTATTTATATTAAATAAAAAATTGAGTTTGCATAGATCAGAAATCACAAAGACATTGATCCATGCAGTCACATTAATTTATACAGGCACGTTATCAAAAGAAAATATAAAAGGAAATACCTATTAGAAATCATCACATTTCCTATTTCTCTTGGATTTTAAAATGGATTTTTAACACACACAAAGTGAAGTTCAAGCAAATAAAAGCATGATATAATAATGCAGACTTTCATTAATTCTAATTCCCCTGAGAACAAAATAGAAGAGAAACCAATTTTTAAAACGAAAGGTGCTACCTCTCTCTGCAGCTGACAAATTTGAGAGGGTTTGTCGGAAAAAAATATTAACCCCCAACTTTGTTTCCTCTCAACCTCAAGGTAGAAATTTTGATAAGTGAGTATGGAATACACAAATTTAAAGGAAATATCAATAAGATCCATTTTTAAATTGATTTTTCCTGGTGAGTAAAGAAGTATGTAAAAAGAGTACTGTTTTCTCAGCCTCAAGGAAAGGGCTATTAGGCTAATTTGAAAATAAAACCATAAACAAATGAAAAAAACCACAATCATTACTGACATTCTTTTAAATCAAAGCAAATGTTGTGACTGCTGTAATGTCTAAGAAGTCCCCCAATGCAATTGTCTGTTTACTGCTGTTCCGCTCCTAGTGTTTTTGTTCTAAGAGCCACGGAAGTCTCCCTCCAGCTAATATCGGACAGGAACGGTCCAAGGATTCTGCCTGCAATTGTGCACGTGTGTTCAGAATCCCAAATGAAAGGGAGAAATAATTTGTGTTTAAAATGCAATTTTGGTTTTTGTTGGATAAAGCAGCAAATATTTTCGTCTAAAGTATTCAACCAAATGGACATATTAAAGCAGAGACTTTTAATTTAACAATATCCAGCCCCCTACACACATACACACACACAAACACACACACACAAACACACAATGTCCACCCATTTACAAGGTTACATAAAAACAGTGAAAGTATGTGATAATTATATCATAAGAATGAAATATGATAAGAACTTATAGATGGTAAAGAACATAGAAATACTCTAAGACAGTGATACTGTATCTTTAAATACTTGCATGCAAAGCCAGCATCAATTGAGTATATCTTTATTTATATTACCTTAGGTTTTAATTTCATTCAATAATCAGTTTTCATTTTGTATCTTCCAAATCTTTTCAGGCTGAGTGTCGCATCGTCTCCTGGAGCCTCTAGATCTGTGTGTATCTGCACTATCTCATTGATCTCTAAAAAGTGACATTGATGCCAACTGCCAGAGCTGGTACCCATGCCATCTGCTAGTGACGTCACAGGGCAGAGAGAGCCATGTGATCCTCTCTTGGGACCTTCATTCTGCACTGATCATCTGGCATCCCTGTAAGTGGGTACCAGCATTCACGCATCAACACAGGAGGTTAGACTGATAGGGAGAAAAATCTGCACCAGCCTTTCACGTACAGTAGGTGCGTTTCTCTCCGAGCTGCTCGGGTCTCACTGGCAGTCTGTAGAAAGAGCTGTTAGGGATGGGTTTCGCCCTGCCAATGATACAACTGTTAAGCAGTCGTTAATATTCCATTCATTCGCAAGGTGGGCTTTTGTGTGAGTGAGAGAGGTTTTTGTTGTTTGTGGGGTTGTTGTTTTGTAAAGATCACCAGCTCCACCTCGGTGGAGCTGGGTGCCAGGGAAGGAGAGCCTTATATGGGAACTAGAAGCTGAGCTTGGGTGCTGAATGAAACCAAGATCAGGGTCGACAAATGGGTCCGCAAAGAACTCGTTATTTCTCTGTTTTGTTTTATGGCACGTAACTTATGGGTTTGTGTCTGTGTGTTCTTCTACTCCAGACTTCTTTGCTTCTCAGGATTTCAGAACAAAAGATCAGTTTCTTCATCTGGGGTCTGTGAAAGACATCTTCAAATGCTCCCTTACACTTGCTGCTGTCTTTCTCAGAACTTTTCAGAGAGAATTTCCGCAGTCTGAATGATACACAGACCAATTGCCGAGCCACAGCGAGTCTCTGATTAGATTTGAAGCTACATGTTTGTGCCCACCGCTGAGCCACTAACTCTCCTCAGTTACCCTCCCTGGTCTCCTGGTGTTAACCTGCTTGTGCCGTCTCAATTCAGACATGAGAAACAGAAAAACCATCACTTATGCTTGCAGCTTGATTTCTGCCTTTCCCTCATTGTCCCTTGACGGTGCCTTTTTAACGAAGCAGGACAGAAACAGTTAAGCTGAGCTGGCAAAGCCCTTGGAACAAAACAGGATGAAGCTAGAGGCCAACCCTACTGTCCTCTCCTTTCTCTGCTCCTCTGAGATGCCTCCCTCCCAAACGGATATATTATTTCAGGAATGCCTACAAAAAGGCAAAAAAAAGTGAACTTTTTAAAAAGTGAAAAAAATAAACAAATAAACAGAAGCCTTATTGTTTGACAGCTGCATAATCTCCGGCTCTGAAGTGAAAGAGTATGCTTTTGGTCTTAGTATAATCCCTGGCAGCCTGGCACTGCTGAATCTGTGTTAGCATTCCCCTTATAAATCCCACCTTTGAAAGGTTTAGGATGCTGCTGCTTTAATGCACTTTGGGTCCAAATTGGCACCAAGGGCCTTCCCCGGATTCAGTTTTTCTCCTTTTGCTCCCCTGTTCATTTCCACCGCCTTTACAAAGTTTTCCTGACCTTCCCTGGACCATTCTAGAAAGGATGGAAGGTTGGCATAAAGAAAGATGCCAGGTAAAAATGCATAGTTTGCCTCTCTTAAAGGGGGAGTAGAAAAGAAGTATAAATTTAAAACAATAGTAAGCCTCTTAATTTATAGGTTAAAATAGGTAGGTGGGCCTAGCTCATATTTGAAAGTAAAACACGTAACATCAGTAATTTTAGAATTTGCAGCTGAATGTATTTTTACTAATGATGATATTGAATGTATTTCATGTAGTTTTTGGTTCAAAATCTAAATATGTTTTTGTATCAGTGCCAAAGAATTTCAGTAGAAGGCCAGATGCAGAAATCAGTTGTCCTCGTGTGTGATTTTTATTTCTAAGTGTGAAGGAGGGAAGAGATCAGATGAGCTACAAAGTCGATAGTGCTGTCTTTGAATCTCCCATGTTGCACCTGTTCTGAGTCCCCAGGCGCTACATTGTATTGCCTCACAGATGTAAATGTCAAAAGGCAGGGACAACCTGATTTGATGTGTCCATAGAAAATTATCACCAATGTAGCAAATGTAAGGTCAGATCCTGTATTTTATCTTTACAAGGGCTTAAAAAGAGGGTAAGGATGAATGAATGAATTAGTGACTGTTCCATTCTTGCCAGTAACAAGAAAGAAAACCTTTGGTAGTGATGAGGTTGGGGACAAAGCTTATTCAAGTATTTTGATTATCTATTCATTTTTGAGAGACTTAGTTTTTCTTTATTTTTAAGATGAAAGAAAAAAAAAGCAAAGAGATCGGGATGGGTATTGAGAATTAGCATGTGAAAATTTAGCAAAGATTCGGTGTGTTTGTACAATAACTTTTCAAGAAATTATGTTATGCATTTTCTAGGGCAGTTCCAGGTATGCAAATGTCTGTGGTGTCTGTTAATATGCGTTTGTACCATCTACCAGAGTGACTGTTCTAATCTCTGTTAAGAACGCATATTAACACCAAGACTCCAAACAGATTTAAACACAGATACTCAGAGCCTTGGCCAGGAAGTTGTCACCTCCTCTGTCACGGTTCTTCTCATTTCACCGCCATCCATCTATACCAAAATTCCCCTCTCTGAATGGATTCTATTCTAATTTAACTGCTGTGATGATTTTGTTAAAATTTTTGGTGTTGTTTCTGAGGTCATGAGATTTTGCAATTTTTTTCAAGTGTCCAGTGCCTGTCATCTCCCATCTCTTGCTGTCACCAGCTAAGTGCTCATATATTGATTACAGTTATAGTGCTCATATATTAATTACAGAAACAAGCTGCAGACAATTTAGACATGATTTTTGATTTGGGATTTTGCGAGAGAATGAAGGTCACATGTTCAGAAACGGAGGTCCAGGTGTTGTCATTCCCGGCTACCCTGTGGCTATCTATGCCTTGTTTTAGCATATGGGGCATTCCTGTGCATCCGTGGCAAAGGGCAACAGGACAGAGTCTGTAGTGAAACTTCAGAACACAGTTCCTTCTGCAGATGTGGGTGCGTCTGAAGGACTGGATATTTTCTTTTTTGAATTTTTTCTCTTTCTTTCCTTTTTCCTCTTTCTTTCTTTTTTCTTCTTCTTTTCCTTCCCTGCCTCCCTCCCTTCCTTCCTTCCTTCCTTCCTTCCTTCCTTCCTTCCTTCCTTCCTTCCTTCCTTCCTTCCTTCCTTTCGGCTTTTTAGGCAAGTGCCCCAGGGAGCCCTGAGACTGGCTTATATGAGCAAGCTCAGTGTAGGTTTTCTGAGCTTTAACTCTTCCATTCCCTCTGGACTGACATGGTTTTATGGTGTAGCAGAGTATATCCCACTTAGGAAAACAGCCCTTGGATTAAAGAAAATCATTTAAATAGTTAAGCAAGTCAGAGAACATCCTTACTGCTCCCGATTCCTTTAGGGGTTTAAACAGCTGGACGTAGGTGTGGCAATGTTTTGTTCACACTCTATGAAGATCATGTAATGAACGGGCCTTAGAAGTCCCCTAAGGTGAAGCTGGACTGCAGGGCACGTGGCCTGTTAGTCTCTCACAAGCCCACCCTGCCTGTCCTCCGCTGCAAACTTTGTGCTGAGCAGTGCTCGTCTCTTTCCAGAAGTGTATTTTATCATTTTCCCCTACAGAGTGTACTTTTCACTTATTCTTCAAACCCATGTGTTAGGGCCATTTTCTA